CCTAAAGATGTGGCCCTCTGGGGTTCCAAATGTTGGAGGAAGATCACATTAAATTCACTAGTCTGAGTGAGCCCAGAGCTTTGACTTTGAAATCCCTCTTCTCAAGAGGCAGTCAAAGTTAAAGATCAAAACTCAAGATTGTGGGATCAAGGTAGAAGTGGTTCCAGTCCCATTTATTTCTCTGGATTGCTCTTTTCATTTAAATTTTGGCCTGCTACCTCCATACTGTCTTGCCATCTCTTTAATGCCTTTTAAAAGATGTGTTTATATTATCCCAGCATTTTTAGTGAGAACACTGATTAAATAAACTTCCCAGATCTTTCCAAAGGTAGCCATTTAAGAAGCTCCAATAAACTTTTTCCCCCTCCTTTTTCCCTCTGAGAGGTCTGGTGGTGTAGTGCCTCAGGCATTTGATTGCTAACCAGAAGGCTGGCAATTCAAACCCATCCGCCACTCCTTGGAAGGAAGGTTGGGCAATCTACTTCTGTAAAGATATTGCCTCAGAAACCCAAGGAAGGGTCGCTGAGTCAGATCCGACTTGATGGCACTGAGTTTGGTTCTTTTGTTTTTTTTCCCTCTAGCAAAAGGGAAACTGAAAGGTACCCAACCACAAAGTTCAAAGCTCCCAAAAACTAAAACAGGCAGGCAAAGGTGGTCTGCTAATTTCACCAACCCTCATAGAATGTTTCTCCCATTTGAGAACAGCAGCCTTGTTCCATTTACTAGATTTTCATCCAAATTTCACTTCTGTTTTTCTTCAGCTTAAAAGAACTCCTACCCATGGTGCCTATTCTATTCATTTACCCCCAAAGCAAATGGAATTACTCTTTGTGTTCTAGTCGAATGATGTCTCCATGTCTCACAAACTCCACTGGAAAGGAAGGATCCAGAGGATCTGCCAAGAAGAAACAAGCATTGATATCTAAAACCATTCATTCACTAGCCTCGTATTAATTGAGAGCCTATGGGTAAACAAACGATAATAGTACAATGTAGTATGTGCTAGAGGTACTAACAGAGTGCTGTGAGACCAAAGAGAAGGGGGACCTAACTGCCTCAGATGATCAGAAAAGGGTGTCCCTCCTGAAGGAATGAGTCACTGAGCCCATGGGCTTGGGACCATGGTTGCTGGGGACATCAAGGTCAATGTCCACAACATACTACACAAAAACATCATTCTACAATCTACTTTGGTGAGTAGCGACCGGGGTCTTAAAAGCTTGCAAGCAGCTATCTAAGATGCAACAACTGGTTTCTCCTTGTCCAAAGACGAATGAAGAAAACCAAAGATGCATGAAAAAAATTCATCCAAGGGACTAGTGGACCATGGAAATCTCAGCCTACATGACCCTGAGACCAGAAGAACTAGATAGTACCCAGCTACTGCTGTCAATCTCCCAGAAAGGGATCAAAATAGGAGATCCTGGATAGAGTGGAGGAAAATGTGGAACAAAACTCGAAATCATAAAAAAGACCAGGTTTTGGCACAATATGAAAAATGTCATCAATGTCCCTAAGCTGTAAATGTGGAAGTTTTTTATGTTGGTGAATGTCTTGGTGTATATATTTTCACCACAATAAAAGTTATTAAAAAAAAAAAAAATAAAGACAAGGCTTACTGGTCTGATAGATACTGGTGAAACTCTCAAGACTATGGCCACTAGTCACCCTTTGGGTCTGGAAGAGAACCTACTCTTGTAGCTTCCAATCAATCAAACAACAGGCGTATAGAACACTTACACCAGGTAGGTACAGTCTTTAGAACCGTGGGAGAAAAGAAGGGCAGTATTTGCACAGGAAAGTATCTCAGAGGGCAGGTATACACAGGAAAGAAGGACATGGGCCAAAGGTAACCACAGGGAGGAACTGGGAAGAGAGCAGTTACATTATGTATCAATGTCATGGAAAAAATATAGATGAACTGCTGTATGGAAAATGAACTTGCTCTGTAAAGTTTCACCCAAATCACAATAATTAAAAGAAATAAATAAACAAGTAGAAAAGGATGTCCCAGAGATGGTGCTTGAAATTACTCCTAAGGGAAGGGGAGAATTTAGTCCGGTAAACAAGTATGACAAAGGCACAGAACTATGAAAGAACAAAACTCATCTGACCAACGGGAGATGCTTTCATGTGGCTAGGATAGGTAGGGTAGGACGGAAAATAGGAATAGGAGATAAGAGTAGTGAATAGCTAGCAGGGCAAGACTGTGTACGACAGACTAGGGAAACTGGCCTTTATCTGACAGGCACTGAAGACCCATTAGAGGATTTTTAAACTGTTGTTGTTGTTATGTGCCATCGTATCGGATCTGACTCATAGTGACCCCTTGTTGGGTTTCTGAGGCAGT